TAATGCTGTAATTCTCCGCTGACTGCAACCCACACCGAGTGCTGCAGTCAGCCACCCAGGCCTGTGCGGTGCACACATGTGATAACAGCCATCCTAATTGCTGGTCTAAGTGCCGTTGGAGGGAGTTTCAGCAGGTTTCTTTTTCACTTTCGCTCCATTTGAAGTCTTTGAAGTCGCTCTTTTATCTCGCGCTGCTCCTGATGGCTGTTGTCTTTGGTGTAGTGCTGTGTGCGTCCTGCTCTTTGAGCGATCCAACATGTAACAAATGTGGGCCCTGGAGAGAAAATTTGAGAAAGGGGGGATGATTTTTCTCCCCCTCTCTATCTCACACATAAATTCAAACACCGCAGAGCACTCGGGCTACAAACGGTTTATATTATCACATTTAGCCGCAGCCACTCACATACAGGAAAAAATACCTCCACTGTCAGTAAAAACTGCTGTGTGTGATTGTTTAACGTGGCCTAATTTGATAACGAGCCAAGTGCGGGAAGTGAGAGAGTAGTGTATTACTCTCAGGGCTTGTACTTGGGTAAATATAGCAACAAGTTGATATGAAGGAAGACATGGTGTGTGTGCCATTGAAGTGTCATAGTGACACAACTTTAAAGTGTGTGCGAAAAATCTGTACTGTACACTTGTTTCTGAGGAAACTCTTTCAGAGAACCACAGTCTGGTCAACATGAATCACACTGGTGAATACATTTCTTTAACATTTTTCTGCAGTTCCAAGATTGTGTATTAAATTCCCAGATTATTAACAGATTAACAGTTGTTGTCGAATATATAACTAGGTGTTGTTATTTACATATTTTTCTAAAGCTGTCTTGTGAAATTTGAACACATTCTTGGCTAATTTTAAACTATATGCTAACATTTTGAATTTTTGTTTTCTATGCCATTGAATATTTTTAGCAATTTTAAACAACCTGTAAAACAACCTACAGTAACACCTTTCCCCTAAGCTTTAGCTCATTTTTAAATCTATTTTAATATATTTTGGTCATTTGTGTTATTTTCAGGCCAACCTTTAACAATTTCTGGAATAATTGTTATTTTAGTTCTTTTTTATAACAATTAACAAATTGATATACAAGCAACTGTCAATTTCTTAGAGGATAATTCAAGTCATGTGAATTTTGGGCATATCCAAGGATTTCAGGAACATCTCGACAGTCATTTTTCCAGTACTGTACACTGTCGACTCCTGCTTCAGCTGTGGGCTAAAATGTAGTAATAAGTCTGAACATTAGTTGCTGCTCATTGTTCTCACTGTGCTCTAATCCAGTTTATTAGAAAGCAGAGATAAATGTGAAGTGTGCATGAGTTAGTGAAGTAGGGAGAGTCCAGAGAACCACAGGGAGAGGAAGATGTGAGGTGAGGCCAGAGCGACACGACTGGCTCCTGACTGGCTGTGTGTGTGTGTGCGCATATGTGAGTGTGTGTGTGGCGTGAAGAGTGTGTTGAGAGGGGATGGAGCGCACTGGCCGTCTCCATGTCTAATCAGGAGAACACTTGTGTGTCCCCGTCTCATTGTCTCCTGGGCCCCTCCAGCGAGCGCCCCTCCACTCCAGCACCGTACACCTCAGGACATGCTGATAGCTGCCTGACCACTGCATGTAACCACAGACAGGCAGGGCTTGGACTGTGGAACAGTGGAGAGGTGCAAGGATGGATGCACAGACGCCATGCAGGCTGGAGCGTTTCCCAGGTGATGCTGGAAATGAATTATCCTCTATGGCCGTGCCCTCGTGTTGTACGTGTTTAAAAAGTACATATTGGTGACACTAGTACTTCATACCACATACTTTTCCTTAACTTTTCTAGAAAAAACTAAGGAAAGGGAAAAGTGTGTTTTATCTTAGAATCAAAAATGTAATCCTTGATTCAAACTGTAAATTGTGATAGAGGAATCACTCATGGGAATAATTATTCTTATATAAATTGACCTAGTAAAGAGAGTAAACTTCTAGAGTAAATGCGTTACCTGTGTATCTCCAGCAGGGGAGCTTCAGAGAAGCTTCATTTTACAGCTAACTTCACACATGAATGTGATGACATATTGATGTTTATGTTTTTTAAGTATTCATTAACTCAGACTAAAATAAACAATATGTTTTATTGTAAGGGAAAAAATAGTAGTTTTGATTTGTCAAGTTAATTGAAAAAAAATTGCAAAAAGATTTATCTTTAGACAAATACAAAGAAATTGTATAATAATAGTCTGACAGCTGGAGTACTGAGAAGCAGCTATACCACTCAAATATCCACCAGGTCTGAAAACCTTTTAAACTGTATACCACCTCCTTAAATATTAATCCCCCAAATACCACCAGTATTCCCACAACAAAGTACAACAAAACAAGCCTACACGTTTCAGCTGGCCACTCTATATAAAGAAGATCATTATGTTCTAATTAAGTTAAAATATACAACAGTATTTGCCAACACAGTACTTGGGCTTAGGTCCCGAGTACCACCAGTGGTGCGTGTACCACAGCTTGAGAAACACAGACAAAAAGTTTTCCATGAAATGCGCGCTCCCAGCGCCGCTGTGCCTTGTGCGTGTGTGTGGCACCAAAGCGCGTTCCCGGACTCAGCAGTTTCCCAGTTCCGTCTCCTCCATTACCGGCGAGGCTCCCAATCAATAATTCAATAGTTTTGGCGTCTGGATCCTGCCCCCAAACGTCCGCGTGCACGGACAGCGCAGACTGTATAGTGGCCAGTCTGTGAGACCAGTATTAATTAATAGCTAAAGACATTGTGTTTTGTGTGGAAATATCGGAAGGATAATGTGATCCGGGCTCCACTCACAGGCTCCGGTGTCAGGTGTTTATTAAATGTTCAATAAGAGGCGGTTAAGATGTCAGGAAGTGAAGCAGGCCAATGTGTAAGTCAAGAGAGGCAGGCGATAATAAACCCATCCTCCTTTTAACCACTTTTCTTTTCCTTTGTCTGAAGGTTTTTATATTTAAAAGCCAACCCCAGGCCATCACCGTGGTCAATACACACTCACACTCACGGGTAGCATTAGCATGTGGAGCCGGGCAGAGGGCCAAGTCCATGCACAACTGGAATCACGCTGAATCCCATTAACCTAGATTGCGTTATGTCAGGGTTTTTTGACATTTTTATCATTGCTGATTATTAATCTCCCTTTGTTGAATGTACTACGAATTACTGGTTTCATCTTAGAGCTGAACATTGGTGGTTTCATGTTAAAGTGCATATAATTCAATTTGATCCAGAAAATGAAGGATGTAACGGCCTACGTTGTTTCAAATCAGGGCAAAACAATATAAAAAAAGAAATAACAATACATGTAATGTTTTCTACAGCTGAGGCTTTTTCATCTCCAGGCTGCTGCTGCTGCTGTTGTTTTTTTATTATTATTATTATTTCTCATTTCTCTCTCTTTTATCCTTCATCTGCCTGTTTTTTGGATCGACTGGAAATGACTTGTCCTCCTCTCCAAACGCTCCATAACCAAACCATGAATAATGCATCGGTTTGGCAACAACAGACAGCGTGTTCCTGACTAAACGGGCCTGTCACAACAGTGACGTCTTCAAAAGGGCCAAAGCTGCAGGCATGAATTATTAAAAAAGACTGTCCTCCAATCCACTAGTCCACTGTCACCGGTAATAACAGTGAAATAATAATGAAAATGATATTAACAATAATAACAATGTAAAAAGTAATACTATGATTTCGCTAATTTGTCATTTATGTTAGGAAAACAGAAAATTATAATTATTATTATTATTGTTATTATTATTATTATTCCTCTTTTGTATTAGACCCTATACCTTAAACGCTGATTCACCCTCAATCGTATACAAACATAAATCAATAATCATAATAATACAATTCCATACAGAAAGCACGTGATTTTTTTTAATACACGGAAATAAAGGAAAATACAAAATGAACCACTTTCCCACACATAAAGCCACGAAATCATTTAAAAATAATGCATGTTTCTGCATGTGTATAAACATATTTTACACCTGCCCGTACCGGTGCGCGTACACACTTTGTGTCACTGACTTTTTGTTGGATAGTTTGTTTGTTTACTGTGTTGTTGGGCATATGACGTCACACTCTCCTTTTTAAGGGGGCGAGTCACTGACAGGTCTATAGTTTTATCTCACATTTTTTGGTGTGTGCGTCACCTTTACATCAGAGGGGTAGGGCTGCAAGTGGATTCATAATCGACTAGTTGATTCTGATTTGGGTAGATTGATGAGCCTTTTGGACAAATTAAGGTCTCACTCTTGAGTTTAACAGATTCTTATTCCGATTTCACCATCTCCCGTGTAATAGGGAACAATTAATTCAAAGTACTGATCCAGAGCACCACCTTTAGATTACTCAGTTATGAAGATCATCCTTATTTGCATGAGCCTCACACATGACGTTATGTAATTTTAGTGAGAGTCGCCCTTCCTCACAAAGGAGAGGGAAGAGGAAGAGAAGAGAAATAGCTCACACCACTGAGGCATTTGGAATTAAAGGTACACTGTGTAGGATTTAGCAGCATCTAGTGGTCAAGTTACATGTCGTTGTAAGTCGCTCACTTCATCGCGGAGAACGCGTGGTAGTCTCCAGGCGTCATTCAAAGACAAAATGTATTTCGTATTTTCACTGTAACCCAATGTGAAAGTACAACAATCCATCATGGCTTCCTTTGTAGAGAAGACAAAAGTATTATACAATTAATAAGAGCTTATTCAAGGGAAATAAAGACACTATTTATACTTTTAGGTTAGAGTAAACTCACAACAGCATCAGCAAAACAGAAAAATAAAAACGTGCAACCGGAAGTAAAAAAACAAAACAAAAATAATTACACCTAAATTTTACACAGTGTACCTTTAAAAAAACACAGACGGAATTAACAACAACAGGAAAAAAAATTGGAATAGTGTCTTTTTGTCTCTAAAGAAATTCCCGCTCTGTCCTTTCACAGAGAAAGTGTTGAGGAAATAAAACGAGGCCAGCCTCTGTATTGGTTCAAAATGAGAGAAGAAGAACGATAATAATTATAATAATAATAATATAATCATATGAAAACAAAACAACACAGCTGCAGAAGAGTTCGCCTTGTTTGGCAAAGTGTTTTGAGCGTCCCAGCTGTGTCCTCCTTCTTCTTCTCCTCCTCCTTTTTCTCCCTCCTCCTCATCCTCCTGTTTCCAGTTCAGACGGGCGGTTCATCCTCACCCTCCTACTGTTTGACGTTCAAAATCACCTGTAAAGGCTATCACGTCACAGTCTCTGTTTTTATTTCTTAATCACATAAATAGCCTATATTTTTTATAATTATAATCGTGGTCCTTCATTTATTTCTTTTTTTTTTAAAAAAAGGAAACATAAATATGGTCCATGGATAATTTTTTCCTCCACTTTGTAAGTGTTCGTGTTCAGCGTCTCTCCATTACGCTCTCTCTGTCTGTCTGTCTGTGCCGCGGGGACGCGCCCGAGAGCTTGTCTCGCGTCCTTGTGTGCGCTCCTGTCTGACGTCACAGTCCCAGCGCGGCCGCGTGCTTCTTGGCCTTCAGTCTCAGGTCCGCGATGCTCGAGTTCTTGCTGGTGTTCTTGGCTGCTGCAGCCGCGGCTACCACAGAGGCGGCGGACGCGGACTCGGCCGCCAGCGTGGCCAGAGGCAGACCGAAGGGTGGCGCTGGAAACATCATATAGGGCGCATGCGCCGCCAGGTGTGAGTGCAGGTGGTGCTGCGCGTGCGCAACGGCGCTGTCCAGCTGCAGCTGCGCCTGCACCTGAAAGGAGAAGGGCGGCATGTTGCAATGACTATCCTACAGGACAGGACGCACACGGATGTGGGGAGGAGGGAGAGAAAGGGGGAGAACATGCGTTAACTTTGCTGTGGGCTGCGTCAAGGGCATTGTCACTGCTACTATGGGGCCCTGTTAAGAGCTGTAAACACATTTTCATTATGCATTAATAAACGTGTTATTTTATTAATAGTACGTGTAATTGAAAACAGAATTACTATCCACACTTTACTATTCCAGTAAAGTGTTTCAGTTCGGACCTTGGACACCCTAACATTAAATCAAACTTCATTGTTCTACTCTGTGAACAGAAACACAACGATTTCTCAATATTGGTAAAAGGCAAGAACAAAAACGGCTCCATGAGAACTGAGCTACAGTTCAGAGTCCAGCACAAACACACACTGTGTTTTAACACAGTGATGATTTAAACCTTTGAATTAATGACTTTGATTAAATCTGAGGTGTTTCTTGAAGACATTCTCTGACAGATTATCTTCTGTTACCCTGTTGAGAACTCAAAGGGTACCTCACAGTAACTCACAGTAACCTCCAGAGGGTTAGGGTTAGGGTTAGTCTTTCAACTCAACTTATTTTGGAGTGTGCTTCAAGAATTGAATTTCCATTACGTTCTTTTTAGCTGAAATTAAAATAGCATCAGAATAGCACCAGTGTCAGCAGTTTAATGATCGTCTCTAAAAAATTAGATGCTGAAAGACCAGGTCCGGTCATTTTCCCTAAATTGACGAATTCCCTTCTCTTTGCTCCACAATGATTTATTCATTTGACTTATTGTTCAGTTTGTTGGGTCATTTGTTGGGTAAAGATAATACCAAACAAGATTCCAGCACAACAATAGCAAGTACACAAAATCATTTAAAGGATTTAAAAATATCTTGAACATGTGCCCAAGAACCTTTCTTTAACTTTGAATGATGTATTTTCTGTATTAAGTCAGCGTCAGTATGCATATTGGTTACCAGCCAAGTCTAAATCCACATTAGAATTCCAATAATGCCTGAAAGTCTAGCAGAAAATATATATAAAAAATATTTTTGACTATTTAAAACGCCATTGGTTAAAATCGGTGTATTTGATCGGACAATGTTCGATCAAATACACTGGATGTGGAAACATTCAGAGAGACCTTTAGAGGACCAGTGGACTGTGTCTGGACTATGGCTCCACAACCAGTCAGGTATTTTTGATGGGACAAGAAGTGTTTAAGTGAACTTGCCTGTTGGAATGGCATCCGTAGCGCCCCCACGTTGACATATGGCGCTACACGACAAGCTTCAAACTGATTGGCTGCTCCAATTAAGACTCCTGCAGAAGGATGAGACGACAGCACTGGGGTGAGGAGAGTGTTGAAAAACAGAGTGTAAATACCGTAGCATCCAAAACCAACTGTCTCTAAAAATCCGTGTGCTTTTTTTATGTTTTGTTTTGTTTTGGTTGTGATGACAAAAGTGTGTTAGAGAATAGCCAGGATACATGAAGCGTTGCTCCATTCGCGGTGCAGGCGCATTGTAACAGAATGAAATATAAAGCCGTGGTTCTTGTCTTTGTGGGATGAGAGCTGCAGGATGAAAGCCTACCTTTATGTAACTGGTTCTCCTGTTTTCTGCACTTGGCTCTTCTGTTCTGGAACCAAACCTGCAGGGACAGAAATTAATTAGAGAGCTGCTGATTGGCAGCTGCTGCTGAGGCCGTATGTAATTCCTCTCAAAGTGACAACAACCGCAGAAAAACAATATCCCTGAGGAGCGCTGAAATATTAATGATACTGCTTAACCCCGGATTTTAATTATTACATTTAGCCTACAACGAAGAGGGGAGAGAGGGACACCGAGAGAGAGAGAAGGATGGAGAGAATATGCAGGAGAGGAGGTGGAAAAATCACACTCTGATAAAGTACATTTTCCAAAATGGTGAGATGAAAAATTAATAGAATCGCCCATGTTGGGGATGTGCAGGGTTGTTGGGGCAGTAATAAATAACCCTGTCGACGTCGGTTTCATCTTCCTATAGATTAGTGTCCCTGAAGAGTTGAGCGGACTCTCAGATATCATGGCAGAAATGCTGTTAGGGTTTAAAGAGGCGATCTGAGAGCAGCTCCCCATCTCTCCACATCCATCTCCCTTTCATTACACCAGCGCTCAAATTAATTACCCCTATCTGCAGGAAATACGTGTCAGAGAGTGTAGAATAATAATAATAATAATAATAATAATAATAATAATAATAATAATTTGGAAAGGGATATAATACACAGTCGTCAATATGTCTCACACACAAAAAGTGCATATAGTAATAATGTTAATAAAATAATTATAACTATACAAAGTTCATTTTAATTGTGATTGTAATTATTACTATTGATGCTACACATTATTATTACTATTATTATTATTGATTTTATTATTACATTATTATTATTGTTACAATTCTCATTTAATGATTGCAGCTTAATATAAAATAAATAAATATTACCAGAAATAAAAATACATTTATCGCTATCAGACCCACAGGCAACAGTAATTATTAATATAATAAATTATAATTAAAAATATTTGTAGTATTTGTATTATTTAGTATGTCCTTTACTTTTGTACTGTTGAAATTAGGAAAATACTGTTAAGAACCCCCCCCCCCACATAATACACATATTTATGAATACACACACACACACGTGTGTACATGCAGAGGCAGTGTGAAGGAGATGATTGAAATATCATATTGATCCGCCTGTCAGCGGGGCCTCGTGTATTGACCACAGAGTACATGCCACGCCGACGTCCTTTTGTGCACGCTTCAGGTAATTTATTGCGATGATAAAAGCAAATGCTCTGCTTCCATTGATCGGAGCAGAATTTCATAGGGAAATCAAAGTAAATGTGTGGTCCCTGTGCATGCATGCAACTGGTAACAAAAAAAAAGACATAATACCCTGGCAGAAGGAGAGAAAGAGGGAGAGAGAGGGTCGTTCTTCATTTCGGTATAGAAAATAATACATAATTTATGCAAATCCCCGGACTGGGCTCCTTGTTTGGAACACAATACGCCTTATTGGTGGGATTTCAGTTCAGACCCGGGACTGCCCTGCAAAAATTCTGCCCCGACTTCACTCTGAGGGGGTGGCGGGGGCAAGAGTTTAGAGTGAGGGCTCTTCGGGGCCTGTTTTATAATTTCGTTTATTTATGATGGAGACAAATGCCCGGATGATCCACCGGGTCTGGGACACAGGAGATGAAAGAGACTGTGGGATGACGGGTTTTGATAAATCAGATAAGAAGAGTTGGCTATATGTTTATTGCTCCCCCCCCACCCCCCCACCCCCCGATCCCGTTACACAGGACATGTCTGAGTCGCCCCCACCCTCGGTCTTCCTCCCCCCCCGCCTCTGAAGAAGCCTTACTGGGTTTCTGTGCAGATGGCGTGTCCTCATGAAAAACGACAGCATGCAGCTCTTGGTAACACACACCCGGTAACTGGAGGCAAATATTTGTAGGCTCATTTGTTTCGCCGGATTTGGACAATAAAAGATTATAACAGATCCCGTGACAACAAGCAGCCACTAATTGGGAGAATTGAGGGAAATTAGAGCAGTCTGGGAGAAAGACGATCTGATCTGGGAAGAACGCAGAAAAGGCCACTTTGGCAACTCGTCAGTGTTTTCACTTATTCAATCATATCTTGTGCCAGGCTTGTAAGCCTGCACACAGACAGCACATGGGATTGACACAAGGCCTTGTCTGGTGTAGTGTTTCAGTGTAGCTCTGTGTGACATACGTCACTGCCGAATATGAATAATTATTGTTTTCTTCTGTACAAATTTAAAATACATTTTAAAATATTTTAATGCCACGCCTAATACGAATACACATCCAAATTATTATTATTATTATTATTGTTGTTGTTGTTGTTGTTGTTGTTGTTGTTGTTGTATCTCAGTGGAGCTCACCTGTACTCGGGCCTCCGACAGTCCCAGTCTCTGGCTCAGCTCCTCCCGCATGAAAGCGTCCGGGTAGTGGGTCTCGTCGAAGAGTCGCTCCAGCTCGTTGAGCTGCTCTAACGTAAAGTTAGTCCGACTTCTCCTCTGTTTGATTTTGGTCTGTGCCTCGTCCTCCATGGGCTTGGAGTCGTCTTTCCTCTCCTTCACATCCGTGGTGCCTGCGGTGGAGCAGAAAAGTAGAAGGGCATCAATAAAGCTGCAACCTCCGACCTGTGTTCATCCACACTCACCTCCACCCTGTCTTATATTTATGGAGTAACTTCCTATTCATAAAATTAATAATTATAGCAATATTAATAACACAGAAATGTCTTACGTATATGTAAATATTTTAACGAGTGATTTTCAGATCTAATCAGAAGTCATGGATTTCTGCCACATCAAGATAACAAACCAAGCACCAAAATCAGAGGCATAAAAAAAATGTGAGTTTTTTTTTTGTTTGATTTTTGATCGTAGAATAAAAAAAGAAGGAAATGAGATGAGATAAGAAAGGACAAGAACAGGAAAGAAAAGCAGAAAAAAGAAGACATGCCCTCCCGGCCCTCAGATATCACAGAGCTATCAGAGCTCGGATGTTTTGTAGAGCTACATAAAGCTCTTTAATTATTAACTTGCTTATAAATATGCAGGGCTGTTCCCACTGTTGAATGTCTGACAGGCTGGTCTGTGTTCTCCTCTGAACCACACTGACCATGACCATGAAAACAGGTCGCTTAAAAGAAAAAAAATGAAAAAATGTTTAAATCTATTTATAATAGAGGGGATTTTTTATTATGGTTCATGATCTACAAATTATTTCTCATGGTTTTTGTTATTGTTACTCTTATGATAAAAACAGCTTCACGAAGTTGCTCATTAACAGACGCAGAACAAAATACACTTTTATCTAAATCTGTGGCGTTGGCTGTAAAATCCCGTTTCTATGTTTAGAAATACCCTGTAATAATTGACACTGTGTAGTAGTTAAACAATAACGGATCATTACGATAAAAATACATGCAGCAACAGCCATAAATTCAAGAGAAGACTGTGTAGAATATTGTATTTTATCCGTGCACTTTTTTAAAAAGTTGAATTAAATTCGCACCTGATGAAAATAAAAATCATTTTCTTTGAGAAGAGAGTGAGAATAATTGATTTTACAGCTTCTCAGCTGTGAGCTGCTCTGGGTTGTTTTGAAACTATCGAGAATCTAACATTAAATGTAAAATAATAACCACTGTCAGTAATGAAAGTATATAAAAAAAGATATTTTTGTATTAATGTCGCGCCTGTTTGTAATCAATAACCTGTGACACTGAAGCATTGTTTTAATAATTTCAGTAATAAGTCAATTTATTTACTATTAACTACTCACTATTACTATTACTTTACTATTATATTTACTACTATTTTTATCTTAACAATTTGCATTTGTTTTTTAAATAAAGCGTGGAAAATATTTGACGTATTTATATGATTTATTGTAAGCAGGACAGCACATATATGGGAATAAGTATTGTGAAAATGAAAAATATATTATTAAATTATAAAATATGTAACGTTAAATTTCAAGATTAAAAAATATAAACTCAGGGTGTATTATGTTTATGTTTACTATGTTTCCTAAAGTCTTTTTTATATTAAATCTGAGATGGGTTTTTTTCTTTCAAATATTATTTGGTAAATACAAATGTTGCTAAGATTATTTCTCTCTCTCCTCTGACTTCGCTGACTTTGTTGATGAACAAACGTGCATTTTAACCTACCGTCGATCAGCTTCGGGCTCCCCGCGTCTCTGATTCTCTCCGGGCCGAGCATGTCCGTTTCTCTGCCCGGCGAGAGCGCCACGGTCCGGGTGACGCCTGTCGCCTCCTCCCGGCTCCCCGGCTCCGCAGATAAAGAAGACTCCCTGCTCCCTGCTCGTGCCGCTCCGGTCTCCAACACCTCCCTGTAGGTTATCACCTCCTTCTTCTCCTTCACTTTCTGGTCGAAAGACTTGGACACAAAAGCGGTGAGCTCTTCCATCACTGCTTGGGCAAAATCACACACTCTTCGCTCTCACACTCCCTTCGCTCCCCGGCAGCCTAAGACATGAACCGTGCAGCGGGGTTTAAAGTCGAGCCATGGAGAACGAGGCACCAGGTGATGCTGCCAACTCTGGAACAAGGTTTGAAAACAACAATATTTCAGTCTAAAGCCACACATGAACTCCTCCTCCTCCTCCTCGGTTACAGTGTGGAGTTGGGAACCTGCTGCTGATCCTCGATTGAAGTCACAGTATTTATACTTTGCGGCGCCTCCTTGCCCCCTTGATCCGTGCAAATTACCTCCCCTCAGGATGCCGGGATGATCCCCCTCCTCCTCCGCCACCTCCTCCTCCTCTACTCCTTTACTGATATGTAGGAGGGAGAGCGAGAGGAGAGGGAAGAGTAAAAATCATTAAGCAGCACCACAGCCATTGGCCATTAATCCGAGATTGACAAGAAGGACTAATTAATTTAATTAAGCGCTCATTCGCTGCTATTGTCCCGAGTTAGTTTTTAAACACTCAGGAGATGTTCAACGTCTCCCTCTCTCTCTCTCTCTCCCTCTCTCTCTCTCCCCCCTCTCCCTCTCTGCAGGGGTGTGGCTTAAAAAAATCTGAAAATGACAGAGGGAGAGAGGAGCACATGGGATGAGGAGTCCTCCCTCACTCCTTCTGTGATCTTTCTCCCTTTCTTTCTCTCTGTTTCTCTCTGTGTATGTGTGTGTGTCTCGAGTCCTACAGGTAAACGAGTCTGTGTGTTTTAGGATATTCTCCAAAACATTTCCATCACCAAATTTGTCCAGGCTAACTGTTAGCTGCCCTGTTGTGATTGTTTTCATTTTTAAAATATTTTATTTTCTTAAGTAATGTTAATTTGTCTTGAATATTTTGGCCACTGTACTGGTAACTAGGCTACATTTTGAAAAACCCTCAGCCATATTGGATCAATTATTGTTTTCCATTTAACATATTCTAAAAAACTGTTATAAAGTCCTCCCAGTTTTTTAACTTTTAAGAGTTAACTGAATATTTTCTCCAACAGCATCTGGACCATATCCTAAAAAAACAAACAAACGAGATTTCCTTTTTTTCTTCTTGTGGATTTCTTTTAGAAATTGTAAATATGATGAAAGAATGTAGTTCTCCTCAACCATTGAAACGGAAGTGTGTGTGTGTGTGTTGACTTGGAGAGAGGGTCAGGGTAAAGAGCAACAGATCAGCTGTGGATCATGCAGAGAGGAGCAGCCTGCACTGCTGCTGACTCCTTCACTGCACAAAGCAGGTTCAACATCAACACACTTGGCTTCAGCCCCAGTTACCTGGACAATGGCCTGGGGCTAAAAAAATTTTTGGTGCGTTTCCCTAAAGGTTTCACTTTATTTTCACTTTATCTAAATATACCTCCAACATTATTATTATTATTATTATTATTATTATTATTATTATTATTATTATTATTATTATTATTATTATTATTACACTAATAAAACAGATATACCCCGGGCCCTGAGGCTTTTCACACAGATAATAACACATTTCCATAATTCACATTCGAACTCTGATAAACCCCTGAGAATTAAACTGATTCATTATTTTTGCACATTAGCCCGCGTTGGTTTATGTTTCTAATCAACGATTATGTGTGTTTAAATTGTCATCATTAGTGAGACTTTACCGCTTAATATTAATTCTCTGTGGACTTTTCATGCCATTAGGCTGTTAAAACAGCAGCTAAACGTTTAATTATGGCGCCTCTCGCGATGCCTTGCCATTGGGCTCACTAATTAACGTTTTTTCCCGGTTTTCTGCACTCGTCTTTTCCCCGCTTCCTCTGAAGCGATTGCCTATATTTGCCAAATAAATAAACAATGGTTCACTTGCGGTGGAGGTAAGTGGATGCTGCAGAAAGAGAGCAATTAGTTGGGAAGGAGAGGAAACGTAGCCTGTATGTATGCAGGCAAGTAAGAGGATACAGCGGCATCCAGAAAACGTCCGCATGAATTTGATACAAAATTAAGCGACTTTATTGATAATCTATGTAAAGCCTTCATTTCACACAGGAGCTGCAACAATTCCCCTGATTAAATATTAACCATGATTCAGCGTGGACCTCAGGCATTAATTACTATTACTTCTGTTGGATTCCTGCATAGAATTCTGGTTGAATGTGAAAAAATCCACATTAAACCGTTTTTCTTCTCGGCAATCCCTGACACACATGTTATTGATCCACGCACTCGTAAAGCTTGTCGGTGTGATCGTGGTCGATCGTTTCACCATCGCTCACTTTTGTGTTTTTCAATTTCATGAGGTGATTGTTTCACTCTCTACGGTAAAAAATAGTTCGGGACGTATTTTCAGAGTTTTGAATGGTGTAGACTTATCTGGTAAAATAATAATAATAATAATAATAACAATAATAATAATAATAATAGCTCGATGGTGGGCACATTTTTAAGTGACCAGACACAAAAAGCACACGCACAAAACAACACTACATTATATGGCATGCTCTTTTTCTTCTAGTTCCCTAAAATGTTTCTTATTGTATACATAAAGTGGTGATATGTACACATTAAGTGGTGAAAAAGTACAATATTTTGTGTTTATTCTCCAAGTATAATACTAACCAGACCTATTAGAAACGTCAAACGAGAAAGTCGATTGCTCTGTGCTTGACTCAACTGTCTGCACTAGATCGATGCCTTCTGCGTTCGATGAGTCGGGTCTTCTGCTCACTGTATGTTCAGTTGTGGAGCTGCAGCACATAAATTCAAAGGTGAGGAGCGGGATTTTGTGTTTTTTTGATATTTATTTTTAACTTTTCAGCTCGCACTAACTTCCCGAAACGTCTGCTGCATACAGAGCCCTACGCGTTTACAATTAAGCAGATAGAACGTTCGAGAAAAACAGAAACGTCACTGCAGTTAGCACAGCTAGCTTGTTAGCATGCATCAAACTGGTTCTCTGTCCAGTATATTCACACCATGTGCAGAGACAATGTTGTTCCAGCTACAGAAGTGATCAAAAAGCCATGTTTCTATACAGGCTACTAAAAATTAAACTACATGAAGCATTAACGGGCACGGTTGAGGTGTTGAGTAAAACAGTTCATGTCAGACTTGTTGTTACACATTGACCAACTTCAGAAAACACTTTTCTTCTAAGTTTAATCTATCTATCTATCTATCTATCTATCTATCTATCTATCTATCTATCTATCTATCTAATTTCCAAATTAAAAAAGGAGACAACCAAGAAATATAATATTATAGTCAGCTGGTACTATAATACCAACAACATCACCTAAGGAATAATTCACTATTGTTGAAAATAATAATAATAGTGTCATTGTTTTAGAAACTGATTCTAAAATCAAACTATTGCCAAAACAAATTGTTTTAATGAAATTTAAGTGATATTTAGACATCAGTATTCAGTCTGAAATCAGTCCTGAAGATGACGTAGCTGCAAAGCCCTGACAAATGGAAATACAAAAAAAAGCATTTAAACAAAGAAGGATTATTTAATAAGGATTACTTATATAAATATTGTAATCTGTATTAATTTATGGTGCACTGACCAGAGCTGTGCTTGGTGCACCATGGGAGGTCCAATGAGCCAACCCATACAAAAACAATTATCAAAGAAGGTGTTTTAGTTTAAAGCAGTTTATTAGTGAATGCTGAACTTAAAAAACACTTAACATAGATCTGTTTTCTAATTAAACTAATATGGATGTTGGATTTGGTCAAATCTTCTGGTCATTTATAGTCATTTTGTGTTGTTCTAAAATGCTTCATACGTGCTTTGGCAGCTAAAAGTCAGCGACCATGGGACGTCGATCCTCTGACAGTGATGATGACAGGAGCAGGAAGAAGAAAAAACAGCGGCGACATTCATCCTCCTCGTCTTCATCTTCGTCGTCTTCCGGCAGCAGGGTGACAAGCAGCCGCAGTCGAAGGTCCAGTCGTCGAAGTCGATCCCGGTCCAGAGACAAGAGGTAAGAGTCAGGGTGTTCTTTGTAATCAAAGCAGCAGGACAGACAGCAGGACAGACAGTCTTTCATCATTTGCTGCACTGCAGATGAAATGTGTTTTAAAGGGTTTCTGAATTACACAGGTGTTGCTTATTTTAACTAAAATCTTCCTTTTTAAATAGATCTTACTTGTTCATATTTTGTGTTATCATGTTCAATACCTAGATATGTTTCATATCTGTTGTAATTAGCTATAGGATATTTCACACGTGGTTGTTGCAGTTGTCTGGACATGTCCTTGTCCATCCACATGCTCCCCATTCCTGCCCGGTTGCTGTTCAGACATTGACAATTATTGGTAATTATTTATGAAGCTTGGTCAAGGTCCATTACTGCAGATGGATGGTCTCTGTCTGTCTGCACAGGGTGGGGCTGGGCAGTCAATGTTAACTCTGAGTGTACAATCTTTCATTTATTAGCCAACTGTGTGATCACTTGACAAGACCCTGAGTTAGTGGGTGAGGGGAAGAGAAAGTGAGCAAGAGACTGGGAACCAGGGAGAGAGAGAGAGAGAAAGCTCTCAATAAACTACTCTCAAAGACCTTATGATGCATGACTTTTAGCATGCAGTCACAGAAACCAGAAGTGTGTCTGTGCCATTGGCCCACAAATATATGTATATATTTATCATCTCTCTCTGTTCAGACGTATATAAGAGTCAACTGACTGAACAGTTCCTGAAGCTTATGTTTTGTAAATATTTCTCTACTCGACTTTGGAAAAGAAAATCATATACATGACTGTTTTTGGTCAGTATTGAAGTCAGGATTATTACTAAACTAGTACAGGGCCACACAGAGGAAGAGGTGTTTAGGTTGGTTGCCTTTGGTTGGGGTAAATATAAGGAATGGTATTCAGTGAAATCCGGATGAAGTTGAAGAAAAGGTGTGTTAATGATCAGTGATTAGTAAAGATTCGGCTTGTTTTAGCTGTTGTAAGGCTGCATGTTATAGTGATCAGAGTGTTACTGGTTTAAATTCCAGATTGTAGTCTGTTTAACAAAAACCAAATACTCCTCCATTCTCCAAGTGCAACAAAGTATCTCCCACTGCTTTTGTTTCATTGATGAGTTTAACACAGAGAACTGTTATCCTTGTGTGTGTATATGTGCTTGCATATCATTTTAGCATCATTGGCTAAGTCATATTTTGGCCAAATAATAATATCTGTCCAATTCTAATCTCTATGCTATGTGTTATCGTTTATGTCAGATTTTTTTTCTTTTGTCTGAAAATATGACTTTTCCTGCTTCTCTTCTTCTAAAAGGCGCCTATTTTTGAGCCTACCTTTTACTGTGGTCCTTTAGCACAGACTTTTGTGACAGTGTGTGTTAACACCACAATCTGTAGCTCACTGCAAATCTTTGCAGTGTGTGAAGTTGTTAAACGAAGGCTGTGGAAATTATTTTATAATGCCCTGCTCATGGGATCTCTCCTTCAGCACTCTAATGGTTCTCTGCTGTGCTATACCAAAGCAGAACAAATCTATTTTGATGGACTCTGTTATTTGTATTACTTTCCTTGTTCTTCTTCTCTGTCTTGCAGTGGTCCCACAGGACTGTGTGTGTGTGTGTGTGCGTTGCGTGTTAAAAAGATTTGGATGAAACCAAAGAAGATGGTTTAAATAATGAATTTTGCTCAAACTGTTTGAATAGAAGATCAGGGTTTGTTCTGAATTCACTTTCACTCCTATAAATACCTCCTGCTACTTGATATCAATATGAATCTAGTGTGAGTGCCGTCTTATAAATAGAGACGACACATAAACTCACTGCTCTAGCCACATGAAAGAGCAGCAGAGAACCAAAGGTCCCCTGTGGAGGAAGTACAGGGCGGCCTGTGTGGCTGTGGGCCACAGACAGACACCTCTGCTGGTACAAAGTAGCATCAGCTCACAGGAGAGGTTACAGGACATGAGGTCAAGTTTACTTTTGATTAGAAAGTATAACATTTCCTTATTTAGATATAATTAATTTGTTTCTTTTTCTCCTTGCGCTTCAGAAGAAGACGAAAGTCCAGCAGCAATTCTTCTCACAGTTCGTCTCGCAAGAGGAGGAGCCGCAGTGCAGGGAGAGACAAAGGGAGGAGCCACCGCTCACACAGGTCACACAGCCGGGACAGGAGGTAATGACTCACCTCCCATTCTTTGGACTTGTTAGTGGTTTTAATCACCAGGTGATCATTTTGCTGATGATTTGATGCAGGTAATGTATTTATCAGGTGAAAACATAGAATAGAATAAAGTGTCATTCAGGCAGAACCAAACAATAGACATCTATTTTTTTTATAACAAACCCTTACAGTAAGAGTATAGCAGACTTTTTCTTATTTAATAATCAATATGAATCATGGATGGTTACTGTAATGTAAACAAACACATCATTGAATATATATATATGTCTCGTGTCATCGGTGGAGCCGCATGGAACATTCAATCGAAAGTATAGATTAACATATTGCATGAACACACACACATTCATGTCTCAGATAAGCCAGACTATCTGATTTTACTGTGTGAGTGTTATTGAAACAGAGATCTGCAGGGACAGCAGGTCACATTCAACAGCGGTCCACTTCTCCCCAAATCTCCTCTGGCAACAGCTCTTCTTCCTCTCATTAATGCAATTAAAGAACTACACACACACACACTCACACACACCATGTTGACTTATAAATATTATTAATGCACAAGGGACTGACTTATTCATGCAAGACCAGTGTGCACACACACCTGGCACCTCAGCTCTCTCTCACTCTCTGTCTTTCACACACAGACACAGACACACACATTGTTTTTGGTATTTTATGAGGGCTTGACATAGACATAATACATACCCTAGTTCCAAACTGAGTGGTTTCCATAAAGAGGACCAGGCCCTCCTGGGGGTGGAAAGCTTTTGCATAGCAGGTCCAACTGATTTGAATTTTGTTATTTTCTTTATTTGTGCACAGGTACAAATTTAAGTGATTTGTAATTTCTTTGCTTAATGAAAAAAATCAGTAAGAGTAAAAATTACAGTGTTTTAGTAAAGTTCAGTGGAGATTGATTCAGTGTTCAATGTCTCAAACTTGCAAACAAACACACACAAAGACCTACGCACACACACGCACTATGCTCATACGCAGCAGTAGTCGGTCATATGGCCTTTCAGAAACATAAAGGCAAAGTCTCCCTTTGTGGTGGATCATGTCATTAGCATAGCTAATCTAGTTCTAATGAACCAGTAAACTGCTGTTTTTAAATCCCGCACACTCACACACATGGTCTCTCTCTCTCACACACACACCTACACACACAGATGCAGCGTCTAATAAAGGCTTTTCATAATAAATGCATGAACAAGCCCTTTTTGTTCACCGGCTTGTTGCTGCGGGACATCATTTTAATCACAAAGACACAAAATAATAGTTTTAATATTTTTCTAACAGAGGTGACAGAGTAACGCGGGGAGAGACGATGCTGTGAAAAGACTTTTCTTCATTGTTCAGAAAACATGTTGTTGCTTCATCACAAGTCACACATTTGTGATTTACTCTAAAGGATCATCATGTAAGCAGCATTTCCTCGATCTCCCTCTACTCTCTGGGGTACGGCAGCAGTCGCTCACAGTCGCCGTAGTGATTAAAGCATCAGTTGAAAATGGCAGCGCTCGTGTGGGTGTAAGATGAAAGGTGGAGGGGATTTGGGAGATTTGGAACTACAGTGGCCGACGTTGGTGTTTACAAACAAGCTGTGTGATTAGCTGATATGAGTAATCGGCTTAGTACTAAGTGAGGGGTAGGTGAATTAGGCTAGCAGGATTTGTTTTGGGATGTAAGGTATCAGAGATAATAATACAGTAATGACAATTGTACACAGTTACTTTATGTTTTGATAGCTGCACTTTTGGTCTTCTGTAATAAGGGTTTGTACAGATTAGTGGACTTTCCTGCTCCACAATGACGTTAGGAGCCTGATGTTGACGAATCACATGAACACCTCACAGGGAGTACCAAAAGGAGGCCGAGCAGCACTGTGCACTAAATGGAACTGTTACCTCGCTTTAATTTAAATTGTCTATTATTGTTGAATGGTCACTTTTCTGCACTATCAAAGTGAAAGTGAATGTTGTCCTCAACAATATTAATATCAGTCTACAAACTGAAAAACTCTCTCCAGCAGTAAGTGTAAATAACAATAAGTTTTATTGACTGTGTATTAGAGCAATAAGTGGATGGACATGGAAGGGACAGTGTGTAAAAAATGCAATTTCACAAATTAATTAACAAGTTAATGAGTCTCCAATGGCTTTTCACACTGTAAAACTTCTCCCTTTGTTTCTCAAGGTCAAATCAAATTTCTAAAGGATAAATCAACAAAGAAATCGGAGAGGTCATTTAAATTTTTTCCTGCTTTTAGTTTTCTGCTTTTTCAGCTCCACTTTCTAACAGTTGTAATTGTGTGTGTATTTGTGTGCTGGGAAACAAATAGTACATGTTACACACCTGCTGAAGTAGTGGAATCTGAGCTGGTGGGTGTGCACTGTACACAGGTGCTGTGACGGCCATTAGTCAGTCATGTGTGTGTCTGGATGACGCAGCCTGAGCTGCCTGAGAGGCTGGCTGATGGATCAGGGGAGCATTGAGTGGACAGGACCAGGTGATTTATACGCAGATGGGATATGAGGTGCTACTCGCCACCCCCACCCTGGCCACATGAACCCTGCAGCACCTCCACAATGAGAATGAGAGAGACCGAGTGCCCTGATCCTGGAGATAAAAGATGAGACTTTGGAAGAAGAAAAAGATCAGGAGAGAATACGTTAAGTTAATGCAGGAGAAGAAGCAGAGAGGGTCCAAAGGGGGCAAAATATAGAGGAGAGACAAAAGCATGCCTTGGTGAAGAAACAGGTTGGGTGTGATAGATGGAAATTATTCAGTAGAAAAAGAAATAATAATGCTCACATCAGAATATTGCGGGGAGAGAAGATTAGGGCCGTTATTGGTTGAAGGCAGAGAATATTATTACCTTATTTTCAATTCCTGGTGTCTAAATAAAAAATAAGGAGATACATGAAATAAGAATAATGCACTATCACATGTTTACCATCATTCTTTGCTCTCTCTCTCTTTCTCACTCTCTCTCCATCTACTCTCCATTTTTTTCTGTCCTCAATCAGAGCGGGGCCAGGTCCCCCAGAGGCAGTCAATCTTGCCCTGAAATGTAAAACAGACAAGAGGAGCAGATTACCTATTTGCCATTAATGTTTATTCTCTTTGATGTGAGCAGGCATATCAAGCTGTGTGTGCGGCTGTGAGAGAGTCGTAGTGCGAGCATGTGTGGGACTGAACTAGTGTTTCTGTGTGTGTGAACTCATGTGAATGCATGTTCGTGGGGTTGGGGTGTCACTGCTAAGTCCGCTGGGGGAGAGCAAAGTAGAGCACAGTGGAAGCAGCGTACAGTGATCTGATGTATATCCTTTACAACAAAGACCACACAGTAGCTCACCACAGTGGGATCACAGGAGCCAGTTTAGGTGAGATGGGTGGAGGGGTCCAGGACTGGGTTTTATGAACAGGCACAGCAGGGGTTAAATGCGCGTGACTCTGGCAGTCTGTCAGTCATGTTGTCAGTCCTCGACTGACTTGAATGCTTTTACAGCCACTGCTCAGGGAACACCCAGGACTGTGGGAGGTGTGACAAATCAAGATGGATAAAGTCCAATAGAGTTTGGTTTTGTTCTGTGATTGTTTCTGTGTTGATGTGAAAGAAACATACATTTGCGGTTAAGTTGCTGTACAAGTAATATTCCTCAATTTGATCACATTGCCATCAGTTGCGGAGAAAGCAATCTAGCACCAAATATGAAAGTAGTCTGGATTGGTTTTGGAACCAGAGTAGAGGTGTGCTGTTACCACTGTCATAAAAATCAGATGTGGGTCATATATGTGGGTAAATTTGGTTATGTTTGCCTGCTGTGTGAACGTGAAAGCACCTAAACCTTGAACGCCTTTGCCTCACTACTTAGGTATTTAGGAATGTATTGGCAAAAAGCTGGTGATACGATACCTACCACGATACAGGTTTTTTTTAAAAACAATTTAACTGTAGGAACTGTTAACTGTCAACACATAATGCTGTTACATTCTTAACATCAGGTTACTGAAGTTAGAACAGAGGGGTCTACATTTGTAATCAACAGAGAAGAAATAAAAGCAAAATAAAATGAACTAACGCCATGAATATTTACACGTTTTTTGTTTAAATAAATATCGGCATATCAATATTTTCCTACACCCCTACTATGAACTGGATTTGGGAGGAGACCGTGTGTGAGGTGGATGGTTGGGGTGAGGTGGTATAGGGAGGTCTGCTCATATGCAGGGGTGAGGAATGACCTGGTATTTATTTCACGCAGCAATTTCCTCCAGTATGAAATGAGGTGTTGTACATCTGCTGGATGAGTTACACTGCCAACGACCAAGATGGAGCGGGCAAAAGGTCATTAGGGTTGCTGTGAAATGAGAAAGGCTGGGGTCAGTAATTGTAGGGAAGTAAAAAAAAGGACAAGGATGCAGGCAAGTTGGATGCAAGAAGACAGAGATGTGGTGAAGAAAATCATTGGAGTTTATGGCTGAACTCTGTGGCCACACAATTTTTACTGCACCTGTTTTAGCTGCTTCTCTGTCTTTTTTTAAAATAAAAAAAAATTTACACACAGTTTTCTGTTGCTCTTATTTTGTAGGTGTGAATGAGAGCGAGTGTGTGCACTGGATCAGGTGGCTCAGGGTGTCACTGACTTCAGGAAGACTAGCCACACGAGTGTGTTGAGGACATGACAAGTGAAAACTTGGATTCATCAACAAATCAGTAAAACATTCAGACTTCTTTCAATGTGCACTTTCATACATCTAGGTTATTGAACACACAAAGTCCCCAAAACCACAGAATTACAAATCACTTTATCACTTTATCAGAAGAAAACTAGATCTGAGGGACTTTGTAGTCCAGGTTTCTTGAGGAAAACCTGAAAAACAAATCACAATATTTTCTAGCTAAATATCCTGGAAATGCATCCTGCATTGAATACGAATAGGTTCAAAATATCAGCCAATCAAATTCTTGTGATGTGTTAGAGCAGTGG